CTTCTGTCAGGTCCTTCACACCATACACAAGCTGGACAAGCATTCTCTGTTAATGGCCCCCATTAACTTCCTCAAAATGAAAAAACCCCCACCCATCTGCAGGACCCTGGAACGCACCTGTAGCAGAGAGATGGCGATAAAAACACCAGCCACGATGTAAATGTTCCTCGGAAGCCAGCCCTCCAGCGCCTGGATGCAGCCTTTGGTGAAGATGAACTCGTCCCACTTGCTCTTCAGCTGCAGGGAAGCACCCCAGAGGCCTGAGCCTGTGGCACAGAGTTCCCACCCTGGTCCCCAAAAGCTCAGCTCCAGCACAGAGCACAATGAAGCACATGGGAAGGACAGGCAGAACTCTCCAGGAAAAACATATCCCTTGGTTTTGGTCTCTATCCCTCCGGGGTCAAGCTGCCATCAAGTCACCTGTTTACCAAAGGCCAGCTGGCCTGGTCTGTAATCCCATTTCTGTTTGGGCTACTGGAGATTCAATTCAACTTACTCAGCACACCTCCAATGCCCACATCTGGAGACACAGGAGGGGGCCTGAAGCCCTGGAGGAAGATGTACCTTTAAAGGGAGAAACTAGGAGATGAGATGTGGGGCATTCTCAAAGGATGGGCAGAAGGAAGGGATGGTGGCTCCTCAATTGTCTCCCACAGGAAAGCCTAGCTCCAGGAGACAGAGCCAGCAGGCAATGGTCCTTAGCCAACCAGTACCCTCCAATGTCAACCCTCAATGGAGCATCAGTAAGAGCTCCAGGACCTGTCCCAGCACACACACACACACACCCTTATTAACCTCACAAATGGCAATCAGCTTCAGTTTCCTTCCCCAATCAACTTTCTTCTTGGCAATAATAATGGAAGACAATTCATTTTAGAGGCCTTAGGGTCTGAACTGTGCCCCGCATTCATAAATTAGAGCCTTAACCTCCAGCACCTCAGAATGACTGTATTTGAAGAGAGTGCCTTTACGGAGGTAGTTTAATTAAAATGAGGTCACTAAAGTGGGCCCTAATCCAGAATAACTGGTGTCCTTACAAGAGAAGATTAGTACAGCGACATGTAGAGGTGTGAAGAAACTCAGGAAGAAGACGACATCTACAAGCTAAGGAGACAGATAGATTCAGTGTGTGCTGAGTGCTCCTTTCTGGTCCATGGATGGTGTCTTCTTGCACAGCAGAAGAGGTGAAAAAGCCCTCTGGGACCACTTCTATAAGGATACCAATCCCACTCCTCAGGTCCCTGACCTCATGGCCTAATGCCCTCCCAAACACCCTGCCCCATCTTCAAAAATCCATGACTCAGGGGATGAGGTCTCAGTCTATGAATTCTGGGGAAAAACAAACATTCAGCTCACGCAGCCCATCCCTGAGAAATGGCGATCACTGAAGGATGCCAAGTTTTCCAAGCCACAGAACACATCTCTAATGTCCAGGAGATGCCCCTGCAGATTCCTGAGACCCCTTCCTTTCAGGACAGTAGTCTTTCCTATCACCAAAAGTCACCAAAGGAAGAACTGGAGTCAGGGTGGAGGGTTCTGCCTATATCTTCAGGGTGGTCTTGTTCCTCTTCACATGTAAGAACTTACTCCCTGCGGTTTTAAGAAAATCCTGTAATCATGAGTCCCACCCCTGCCCCAGGCCAGTCTCCTTCCTGCTGCCACTGTCTCCCTGAGGAAGCTGCACCAAGCCACACACTCCTACAGCTTCCTCCAGAACCCCTTTATAATAGACACTTTGTATAGCTCCAAGGAGCCTCTTAAAAATACAGACTTTGTTCCCCAAAATGTCCATCCCACTCTTTAATGCAACAATGATTCTGTTTTGTGACTGTAGTCACAGGGTTTGAAATCTCCACCTGTCACTGTTCCCAAGGATCCTGCCTCCAGCTCAGGAGGGAGTGTATGGGGCACCAACCCCTGCTCAGCCTTGTCTCCGTTTAGATGTCACCTTTTCAGCTTAATCTCCCCCTGCTTTTCCCACTCCAATTTTCACTTTTGCTAAAGCAGCAAGTTAAACTATAGGGAATACAGCTTGAAAAACTGTCACCCTAAGGAGCTCTTGAAGTTCTGCATGTTGGGGTTCTCACCTGAATCCTGACATCGTATCCACACTGTGTGTTCACAACTTTTTGCTGTAAGATAATCAGAAAAATCAGTCACTTTTATCCTCTTGAGAAGTCAGTGGTAAAAGGTTCAAGAAAAGCTATAACCCAACACCAGAAAACACCTTTGCAAATTCCACACAGCCCACATCCTCCAACCAGGATAGGACAGGGGTCAGTAAACTGTTTCTGTTATGGACCAGAGAGTAAATATTTCAGATGCAGTCTCCAGAACAATACAGAATTCTGCTTTAGTAGCAAGAGAGCAGGCACTGACAACATGTAAACAAACAGGCCTGGCTGCATTTCAGGATGGACCCTGGAATTTGAATTCTGTACAATTTCCACATGTCACAAAATGTTACCTTTCTTTTCAACCATGCTATAGCTTGGATATTCAATGCCCACCCCCCCCCCAAGTTCCCTATGTTAAAGGTTTGGTCCTCAGGGTGGAGCTAGTGGGAGATGAAAACTTTAAGAGGTGAGGCCTAATGGGAGGCCCTTAGGTCACAGGGTATATGACCTTTAAGGGGATTGTGGGAACTTGGCCCCTTCCTCTTATGCTTCTTGGCCACGAAGTGACCACTTTGTTTCCACATACATTCCCTGTCATTGCTGGTCAGGCCTGAAAGTAATAGGTCTGTCTGATCATGGGCTGGAATCTCTAAAACCATGAGCCAAAATAAACCTTTTTCTTTCTTTCTTTTTTTTTTTTGGCAGGGGATTGGGGGGGGTAAGTCGCATTGCTGGAGACTGAACCCACATACTAAGCATGAGCTCTGTCACTGAGCTAAGCCCAGCCCCATAAACCTTCCGTCTTTGGAAGTTATTTTCTCAGGTATTTTGTTATAGTGCTGGGAAGATGAACAATCATTTAATAATAATTAAAAGCATTCTTGGCTCCCAGGTCATATAAAAAAGCAAGCCAAATTTGGATCCTGGGTTATAATTTGCCAATCTTTGTGCTAGGAAGCAAAGTTATACTAGATAAATGCAACATTTACTACATTAGTATATTTCATAGTAACTCTCAGAGTCCTCAGACATCAGCTGTGCAACCTCAGCAAATCTGAACCTCTCCTGGGCTGGAGAACCTGCTCATGAAGTAGAAGTGATGGCCGGCCTGCTGGGAGCCCTATGACCCAGAACAGGCATTACATAACTGCACTAAGAGTTAGCACAGGGTCAGTTCTGCACAGGTTCAGCTCAGACAAAATTCAGTGCTCCTTCACAGGTCATCCCGTGAGCTCAGTTTCTGAACCCAATTACCTGGTTTAGACTGAGAATAAAATAAACAGTGGAGAATCCACAGAAAATAATTCTCCACCACAGAGATGCTGTTCCCCTGTCAGTGATGTGCTCCCCAAAGCTCCTGTAACCTTCTGAGAACTGGGTTTTTTTTTCTCCTGAGAAAGGGTATAAAGATGCCAAGCAAGGGCTCATGACCATCACAGCATCTTGTCCAGGCACCCCAAGTGAAAGCCCCTCAAGGGAGGGTGAATATTGCTTCCTCCTGCTTTACCCAGTACATCAGTGCCAGGGTGGACCATGAGAGAACAATCCCAGAATGTATGTAAACAGGATTGTAGAGGTGCAAGGCCTTGGGGCAGATGTGAAGGGCATGCACCCAGCTCCTCTAGTGTGCAGCAGAATAACAGCTCAGGGCATGCGCTGACTCCCAGAAACTACTGGCTATATGAGGAACACACGCCATGCCCAGGAGCAAGTCAACTCACCGCAGGATCCGGCACACAGCAGGAGAAGGGAACCCCACACTTCTCGCGACTATAGCTGGCACCACTGCAGTTGAAATAGACGTTAAGGTCCCAGTCTTCAGGGCCATAGGCTCCACAGCACTGGTTCTACAATCACAAAAGCCAAGAATCATCAGATGCTCCCAGAGTCAGTCTTAATGTGGCAGGATAAGTATGGTTCCTTCTATCAGACACAGAAACTGAGGCCCACCCTGCTATCTCCCACACATACAGAGATGCTGAGCAATACCACCCAGGAAATCCTCTAAAAATGAAACAGCAGCTGGGTGCAATGGCACATGCCTGTAATTCCTGTAAGTGGAGGCTGAGGCAGGGGGATTGCAAGATTGAGGCCAGCCTGAGCAATTTAATCTCAAAAAAAAAAAAAAAATTAAAAGAGATGGAGACATAATTCAATGGTAAAGCACCCTTGGGTTCAATCCCTAGTGCCACCGCCACCACTACCATCAAGGCAAGAGTAGCCCCAACATCTCTGTCAAACACAGATTGACTCAGGGGCACCACCTGGCCTCAGCATAGGGAATAGTTCTACTCTGGCTTTAGTTGCCTTTTTTGTTTCTTTATCAAAATCAAATA